GGCAAGATACCCTAATCTAGATTCAGAAGACAGAAACACCTTTTTTTTTGTTTGTGTATTGGCATAGTTTGATGTTGGGTTAATTGAGTGAATTCCTTCTTAGGGAACATCTAGGTTTTTTAGATAATATATTCTTTGAGATAGGTGCCAATAGCCTCAGTTCTCTGGTCTACTTCTATAGGCAAACACTGTAAAAATTGTTCAGTCTATCTCTCATAGGTAAAATCAGACAAGTTATGTGGCTTGGATTCCTGTTACCTACAGGTGGGCTTTGTGGCGTGGCAGATTTGTCCTCAATTTTCTGTGTGTGTCTTAAAGAAAAAAGAGTGTCGTTTACTGGGGAAAATGGGAGTTCACCTTCTCTGTCGAGGCTTCTGGGGAGACTGCTGCTGGAAAGGAGCTGGATCTTCTTAAATTCAAGATTCTTTGAATAGTGCTGACTGCTTTGCTACTCCATTTGGAAGGATTATAAGCTGCTGTACTGACTGACTGATATTCATTAGAGAACTTTCTGGGCAAACACAATCAGTGAGAGACAAACGTTTAGCAATATCATTTGAGTGCTATTAGGAAGGGTTGAACAATGTTGTCTTTCAGTCACTGTCTTTTGAGGGTTTTGTACAACTGTGGGTAATTCTGCGATTCTTGTTGGGAGCCAACCAGAGAATAGGCCCTGAGCAGGTTATAAAGGGTCAGAGATTCTCCTAAAGTGTTTTTTATAATAAATGTAGCTATGTAATCATTTGGTTAACTTGTTATTCAACCAGTGCAGAGCAGTCTTTGGCCTTAAATCCAGCTTAGCATGTTGATACGTTTCGGTTGTGTAGTGCTACCAGCAAGATGACTCTCGTTTGACATATTCAGCCATTTGGAAACTTATTTTACGTTCACCAGGAGTGTTAGGGTATGCAGTCATTTGAAAAAATAAAATAAGGATTCAGAATTAGAAAAGAAAAGAGTCTGGTTGACTTCTGGCAAGTGTTTTGGTTTTGGTTATCTGCAGAGTATACACCTCTTGTCAGTATAAATAGGGAGTGCCTGTATAAACATTCTTGTTTCGCCTGTTCCACATAATAGTTTCTTGTATCATATTTCTTTTGACCTCGCTATCTGAAACCAATTACAGGAGATCCATTTGGGCTGCATCTATTTTCATAAGAAGCCCAGGCAGCAGTGTTTTTCTCAGAGATGAATATCAACATCAAATATCCTTCTGAGTGCTTTGTTATTTATGTTTCAGAGAGATTTTGTAGCCTTCAGCTCTCAAGAATGTGTCACGCTGTGCTGTTTATACATTGACGATATTAATGGGCATAGATGTCATTTTTCATTTTAACGTCTCAAATGCAACAGGCTGATAGGTTAAACATTCCTGGTTTTAAAGGAAGGATATGAGTGACATCTGTTTCCTAAAAATACACATACATTTAATTTCTAAAAACCCAAGTAATAAGTTTACCATCTTTAGGTGAACAGCTTTCACTTTATTAAAATGGTAAAACTTTAAAAATAATTTTGAATCATGCTTACATCAAATAGAAGGGTTTGGAATACAAAATTAAAGGAAGTTATATCTCCTAGTAATATTGCCAGCAAACAGCAAAATCTACTGCAATTTATCAGCTTTAATAGTGTGAGTTATATACAATTGTTTTCATTTCTGTTCTGCTTATGTTTTAGCTATGCCAAAGCTTCATAGTAAATATTAAGAAATAGTGTTCCCAATAAATATTTTACTAGAAGACACAGTGAGTTCTGGAAACCATATGCCCAAATTTTCCTTCCTATATAGCCATTACTTGAATCATTACAATGATTTTCATTTACGTAATTAAAATAATTTCTAATTCTCAGATCTTTTTATTGCTTTTGTCTACATTGATTTTTTTTTTTATAATTTCACTCATTTAGATAATTAAGGAAAAGTTCCTACTAAATTTGAAACAAGTGTTATAGGAAACTGGATATAATTTTGACTGCTGTAGAATCTGTTCTTGCTGCACTTAACTTGAGGTGGGACTCAACATAAATTTGATCTGCCAGATTTATAAGTGCCTGTTATTTTGTCTTCATTACACTGTTTTTAGATCACGAGTTATTGTCAGAAAAATTTATAAATTATACATGGGATGGGTGTTTATTGGTAGTGTAGATGTTAAATTATGAATTTTGTAAGATACTTTCAAGTTGTCAATTTGTTTTGCAAAGATTTAATAGCAGCAAATGAATTTTTAGAACTAATATTTTATAGTATCATGATCTTCACTTATGAATAATGTCAGTAATAATACTTTGAAATTAACAGTGTTTCTGGGAGGTTGTTTACCATGTAGCAAAATGTAAAGTTAAGCAGCACACTGGGAGAAAAAAATACCATATGATGACTGCTCTAAGAACAAAGGCTGACAGTGATTTCTCCTTATGAGTTTTAAATCATCTCTGATCTCTTGAAATTGTTTTCTGTTCTTCTTCTATCTCCTGTGTTTACAATAATCTAAACTGCCACAATAAGATCACTGAAGTATTCAGGTAGTCATCATTTATAAGACATTCTGTATTAAAAGATAAGCCTTTACTCCTTTAGAGATATTCCCAACCAGCACATATGAATCAAAATAGTTTAAGTAGTAGAGCCTTTTATGCAAGCATATCCTGTTGTGCTGCCTTGCTTTTTCATGAAGTGTGACTCTTTTTGTAGTTAGCTGTAGGAAGTCATACTTTCTTAGGCTCATTCCACGGGAGTATGCTAGCCACAATTCGAAATCATACTGTCTAGATTAAATCTAAGCTACGGCAGACTGTAATTCTCTAATTTTCAAGTACTGTAAGTGTACAGCTTTACTGGATGCTTACTTGCTTGTTTTATTGTATTGACGTGAGGGCTTTGCTGCTGGAAGGAAGATTAGGGTTTCTGCAACTGCCAAAAAGAAAAGATTATTGTCTTTATATTTTTTTCCCATTTCCTCTTACTCCAGATCTCTTCTCTCATTCTCCTGGCAGTATCTTCCCAAGTGGTAAGGTTGGTTTTCCTCTACAGTCTCTCATGAATTCAGGAGTGCAGTAGCTCTCTTGCTTCCATTGAAATTTTCTTTTTGGAGAGCACTATAGATTAAGAAATATAAATTTGCCACAGATCTTCTGTTTGTGCTTTTAATCTGCTTTTGCTTAAACCATTGCAAGAAATTGGGACCAAACCCTGGTGCCCCTGAAATCAACAGATACATTTAACTCTGATCTCAGGCAGAGAAGGACTGTCCTGTAGGATATGCTCAAGAACTGTGAGTGCCGAAGAGATCATGCACCCAGTGGTTCCTTGGTAACAAAATATTTCAAGTGCACTTTTAAATATGTTAACTTTTGTTTATTTTTAGCAGAGAGAAGATAGTTCTGTTCATCTCATTGCTTAGGTTCAGAGGAATGTATACTCTTTGTAAAGCTGACCTGTAATTACTTGAGAATTTGATGAAACAATAAAGGGATTGTTGTGGGAATGTCTCCAAATGTTAAAAGTCTGCTCTGCAAACTTAGTACCAGGGCCTTCTATGGGGAGACGAATCAATGTTGTTAGGAGATGGTACTAGTGCATTCACTTTGTTTACTTTGGTTTTCTATGTCTGCCTGCCTTCTCAGAAAACTTGCTTGGAGCCAGACTGTAGCAGCCCTCTCTCTGTCTTTTCATAATTGATCAGGGGATGACTGCCTTCCCTGAGGGTTAAGACGTGGCAACTTTTTCTGTTTGCTCAGCATCTCAATGCAGTAGTTCAAACATTGTTCACACCAGCTGGCAGTGTAATGCCATATGCACATCTTGTCAAAGCAACTGTTGTCATGGATACTAGAAACTATCTTAAAAACCAGCTCATTTGAGTCTAATCAAAATTGTACCTTTCTTTATCAGTTGAGAATCTTTATTATTTTAGGGAACATTGATCAAATGGCATTTATTGCAGTACGTTCCACCTACAGTAGGTTTTAATAACAGAAATAATAGTGTGATGTATTGTAAAGCTATAACTGCTATTTATTGAGCTGATTTTTCTAAGGGGAGAAAAATTAGTTCTCCAGGTAGTTTCAGTGGAAATGTTTTGAATCAGGTTTTTTGGTTTATTTTGTTTTTCTTTTTTTTTTATTTCTAAATAAGTACCACCTTATAATACTTGACATTTAAAAAAATAATTTTTTTGGAAAAAATAATATCGATTAGCATTCTTTGGGTAAGTGGAATGTTTGTTTACATTTCATATGTTTAACTATATTTGGCTGAGTTGGAATGAAAACGTAAAATAAATGAAAACATCTTCTATTTTGATTGGGATACTGTCATCCCTGAGCCTGATCTGGTTGGTTGAGTACTAATTTCTTTGTTCTCTGATTTTCCTAAGAATGCAAATTAAAACCACTCATTTTTATTTGGCATTAAAACTGCACTCTTTTTTTTTTTGTCAAAGGAGAGGTTTCTCCTTGAATTGTAAGTACAAAAAGTGTTTTTAATCTTCAATGAATATCCTTATTAATTCACTTTCAAGATAATCTGATGTTGATTTGTCAAATTTAATTACAGCTTCTGGTAACACTTGAAGTCTACTTGCTTTTACTTCAAATTGTAATACGAAAATGCAAATTGAATGATAATTTGCAAGGGAGTGGGCATTTTAGTTGAACACTCAAAGACAAGTTCCTTGTGGAAATGAGGCTATTGATGCAGTTTATGATTTTTCCTCTTCAAGCACTTCAAACAAATTAACTTTATTTCCTGCAGGATTTCATGTACATCCATAAATTCTAGTGAAGTCTTATATATGTACTTTCAGAATATTTTTTTAACATTTCAAGTAAAAAAAAAAAAACCCTGAAGTCTGAAATCTAGCAAATACAAATCGAATAGGAGGGGATTTTGTTTGTTCAATTGGACTTTTACCTTACATTAGCAATGAGTAACTGATTTCTTTCTAGGAATTGGTCAAATTTATTTACTTTTTTTTTTTTTTTTTCACTTTTAGGCACTCCAGGCAGCAAGGCAGCTGCTTTTACAGCAACAGACAAGTGGACTGAAATCTCCTAAGGGCAGTGAGAAACAGAGACCGCTGCAGGTTAGTAAAGTCTCCTTGCTTTTGGGACCTTAGTCTCAGGGAAGAGTGCCGTGTTCTCTCCTCACATGTGAGGGGTGTTTGTCAGTCCTGTCCTCTAATGGTGTGTATGTGCATATTCACATGCTGCAGGTTACAGGCTTCTTGCTGCTGACTGCACAGAAAAAAATCACTATGAGATACAAAAGTCTTTTGTGGCTGTACATGCTTAAAAGGTCTGAGTTCAGTAACTGTGGTACATTAATTCTTTATAGACATGTTACAAAATTGGTATGTGATTTTTATACGTACATGGTTTAAACTGTAAAAACATGTTAACACTAGGAGAAAAACAGTATCTGAAAAAAAAAAAAGCTAAATACCTCACAGGTACTATATCTAAGTGACAGAGAAGTGTTCAGAAACTTACCAACACAAGTGCATGAAATTATGAAAGCTGTTTCTGCCATTTTAGAAAAAAATATATGTCATGAAATTTCACATTAGGATGTTGTTGGGCTTTAGATTGTGAATGGGTAAACAGAAGTTCTGCTACTGAATAGTTATTTTAAATGCATTAGTAAAAACATAAATAGAGTTTTATTCTTGGAAACTTTTATCAGTGTGGTATTTTTATGAGGTATTAATTCATTTATTCCTAATGCAGAGTTCCATAATAAATTGCATTCTGCTGACAAAACTTGTTCCCTCTTATATATAGATCAAATATGGGTGCCTAACTGCTGAATTACATTGTGTTGCAGACAACTTTATTTTGTTCAGGAAATTTTTTAAAAGTATAAATCCTACCATTCTCTTCCTCACATCTATTTTTCTGGGTGAGCATTTATTCTCTCAGGACTTCCCCTATTTTCTAATGGAGTAGGGTGTTTTTATCTCATTTTTAGTTTTTGTCATGCATAATAGAGAACCCCAGGCACTGGAATGTATTTTTTTTTTCCACCAGGGAAATGTCGTAAAATTTGTTCACTTCTGCACTTTCTGAATGTGATTCACACTGTCTCCCTTTCTTTGTGAAACGGGGTGGAGCAATGTTGGACACAGCAAACAGGTCCACACTCCTGATCAGCTCTCTTCAAATCTTCTTTTAAGGTTTTATTTGTTTGCTCAGAACCAAACAGGAATTTAGGAATATGACTAAAGAAAATGGAAAAAAGGAAAACATGGCATGATGGTATCTTGCCATACTGCAGTTGTAGTCCAGTCCTGGCTGAGGCTGAGTCCTGGGACCCTCTCACCTATCTACTCTTCACCCTTGACTTTGCTTTGTAACTGCAAATTCACTTTTGCTTTGTATCAACTATCTTTTGCACTGAAGGCACATAAGAAGAGTAGCCATAAAGGTAGAAGCTTATGAACTATATGGGCTTTTTAAGTTTTAAAGTGGAATTAGTGACCTTGAAGGGTTGAACCGTGAAAATTATTGATTTAATGAATATTGTGAAAGTACTTCATTCTGCTAGCTCTTCATTCTGAAAGATAACATGGGTCGTACAAGGAGTGTACAGGATCCATCTAGCCCTATGTTCTGTCTCTAAATTGTCTGACACCAGGCAATAAGGAAAGTATATGAAACAGGCATAAATAGTGGTATTTTTCCAGTATATGTTTTACACATTTTTTCTTACTTTAATCCTCCACCTTTTAAACCAGCACAGTCCAGGAGCTACTGACTCTTCACATACTCCACCCATTCACAAACTTTCTTTTCAAGGTTAAAGAAGTCTGGAGGTGCACTGTTTTGGTAGGCATTGGTGCAATAATAGAAAACCAGGTTTGGATGCAAAAGACAGTCATGCACAGAACCCAGAGGATGATGAGATGAAGAGAGAGAGTCTTGTGCTTTCATGTTCTCAAAACACTAACCCTGTCCTGATGCCCTTTAAATGCTAGGGGTTCATGTGTTGGTGCTGTATCACTTGTTTCCCAGGAGGAGTCAGCATCTCATGAATCATGCTTGAGAGGCAGGAAGAACAAAATATAGCAAATAATTTTATTTTCAGAATGGTTACATGCTCCCTAAAGCTTAGATTATTGCTTATGTTTCCAGCTTTTTCTTCCATTATCAGTGTGTACAGTGTCTCTTATTGGCCTTGAACACTTCATTTGGTTCATTTTTAAAAGAGAGGAAAAATGGAATTTGCTCCTAGACTTTGGTTTTATGTATCAAATACCATGTAAATTCAGGTATGAGCACAAACTACATTTTAATTTTCCTTTTTAGTGAAAAGGATGTATAAAGGTTTTGGATGTGAGTCCTTTGAGCTTTTCTATTTCTGTCGCTTACTGTCCATTGTTCATCATGTAGTGGAATTTTACATTTCAATCACCATGTTGCCTGTTTGACTAAATACTGTCATAAAATTGTACAGCATTATTTTCTTATTCCAAACTTAATGGTAACTTCAACCAAAACATTCTAGCAGTAGAAATTGCTAAATTTGTATAAGGTATACATTTTTGTAAGACAAAATTGAGGGTTATAAGGCAAGAATACCTGTACTTGTGTTTGTGATTAAGAAAACAGACTTCTCACAATATTTTAAAAAAACTTTAAAATTAATGCATATGTAATTTCCTCCATTTCAGAGGAATTTACTAATCTGGCAACTGTCGATATGTTAAAACAGATTTGTAAATCTAGTAAAAATGCAATAAAACCGTAAAAACTAGCTCACACATCTGCAAGAAAAGGCGGCTATTTGGCAAGCCTTGCCATGCATCTTGTGCTCTGTAGTTTGTTCCATAAGCCAAAGAGGGAAAAAACTGGTATTTATTTTAGTGGCCATCTTTTCTGGGGGAAAGTAGCATATGGTGTTTTTATGTATGTTCTCTCTGTTATTTCATATGCGTCAAGTATTTCAGTGACTTACAGCACCTACTAGCTAATCAGCAAGTTGAAAGCTGATTGAAGAAACCTTCAAATTTGTGTCCTCACCTTTGCAAAAAGAGGGTGTTGGGTAAGTCATCATGTTCTACTGTGCTTTACTGAGGGGATGTCTTTAGGGGAACTGCTGAAATTTTCCTAGAATAATTTGAGTGTCTTTTGTATCCTCATGAAAAGCCTTTTACAAATATACCACTAGCTGTGTGATCTATTGTAAAAGTACAGAAGTTCTTGTTTTAGTTTCTAATGCAAAAGTTACCTTTAACTAGCAGTTATCCTATCAGGGACAGGAGGCTTATATTTAGATTGCGAGTTAACAGAATACCTGCAAAAATTACAGTTTTAGATAGACGCTTGTCTTGATCTACTATTACTTTGATTTACATTTGTCTGGGTTTCACACTGCAGATGGCATAACCATTAGCATGTCTTATGTAAAACAGAAGAAGAAAAACATCCCTTTTGACAAGCTTGAGTACCAATTGTGGTAGTGATTTTACTTTCATGTATAGATATCCGAATAAATGTATTTGAAACATGTTTATATATGCCATTCATTACACTGATGCACCAATTGAATGGATCCAATCAGCACATACATCGATTAATGACATATTGCAAAACAGCTATGGAGGGTTTGTGATGAGAGTTGAGGGTAATGTTAACCTGCATATGATGAGATAATAGCATTTACTATTTAACAGTGCTTCCAGTAAAATATTGCTGTAGTAAGGTTAAGATTTTTGTAGTACCATTTTTTATTTCAGAATATTTTCCTTTTCTGTAGAATTTGTTATAATGGTAATCCGTGGTGAAGCTTACTAATTGCTTTCAAGGATTCTCTCCCTATCACCAAATTTCCATAGTAGGCATAACAGAGAAAAATGTCACCTTGGCTCTTAGAACATGTAGGTCATTTTCCTAGGGCAGGAAGTCACTGTCCTTAGAGCCACTGAAGAACCTGGTATAATCTAGCTTGAGTTTTAATACTGGCAGCTTTATTTTCATGTTACATTTACAGTCATGAGCGAGACTTGGAGCTCTTCAAGAACTGTGAGAGCACAAGCATAACCCCAAGGTAAATGCTGTCAATTTTCTGCCATTGGGTGGGTATTGGTGTACAGCATTTCAATTTTATTTCCCTTCCAGGTAGGCAGTCTCTGTGCTTATACTAATCTCCCCATGATACACATACTGTTGTCTGCATACCTGGTGATTTGCACAGTTGTAATTCTATTTGTTTGCCTAGTTGTTTCTATTCCCAGTAATGTCTCTGAAGGAGTAGTTTATTTTGATAGAGTCAGACTATGAACATTATGCCAATTAGAATAAATAGATAATTATCTTCAGCCCCATAGTTTAATATACCTACAATGAAATGTTTAGTTGTTTTTTCCTTCAGGTTAGGTGATTTGTTGTTTCAACATCAGTACTAATGTATTCTATAAGAGGATGGCATGTCATGAAATCATGACTCCTGGAATCAAAGGGTTAAGCTCAGTGTGTACCAAGGCAGTTGTATAAATATCATGCTGTATGGAGTGTTGAGTTGTTATGGTAAGCTTTGTTTATTTAGCATAAGCACTTCACTGAAGTGTAATAATTTGATAAAATTTGGGAAAAGTATGCACTTAATTTTAATTATTTAATTTTTATTTCATTGGTGCATAACATCAGAAGAACTAGGTTTCTTTTAAGACACTCAAAATGCAGAAATTTAGCATGAAAATTTAGCATGAAAAGATATTCATAGTCTCTTTTAACCTACTATCCTTGCTTTACTCTCTCCTAGTTTGGTCATCTCCCTTTGGATCTTCATATAGGCCTGAGTTTAAAATTGCACATAATGAATAAGCAAACATATCATTAATATTGTAACCTTTAGTTACTTTTTAAAACATATATAAGGAGTTGATGAGAGATAAGAAATAGGGGATGTGGGGAAAAAAGACTCAAACCCCACTGCTTTTAAATTATATCCTCTGATTTAATGCACTTTGACTTCAACTGTGCATGCTTAATGTCAGTCAAAAAATGCCATTTTAAAAACAGAAGAAAAAACTTGTAATGGTTGTAACCTAGAGATTTTTCTTTGCATTATATTGGATAAAAATAG